TCCAGAGTGAGTTCTAGGACTGCCAGAGCTACACAGTGTCAAAACAAAAACAAAGTTTTGAAATACTTGCATGTTATTATAGTGCAATATGTTTTTTTAAAAGCAGGGTTTCCTATATTCCAGGCTGAACTGCTGGCTCTTCTGTCTTTATCTCCAAGTGCTGAGATCACAGGTGATCACCAGAGTGCTTGCTCATGGTGTGTTGTCTTACAGGCATGACCCAATACTCACCAGGAAATTTGTTTTGTGTATATCTTGAACATATCACCTGAAAGTTATTGTTTGGTACAGGATGTTTAGGTCCCTGTGTTCTAAGCACTGCGAATTACGGGAGCTGGCTGTAGCATTCAGATTAGAGATAGTCACCCGCTCTGCTCTGTCTGTGTCTGTCTTCCTCATTCTTCTCAAGACAGAGTTCTGCGTCTGAGCACCTGAGTGTCTGCTCACCTTTCTGCACTTCCTTTCCCTTGGGCTCTTGGAGAGTCAAGCCTTGGTAGCTCCCCTAGTGCCTTAAAATAGTTTCGTTTTGCAGTTGTTCTCAACAGTATCGCTGAGCCTAAAAAGATACCCCATCTTAGAAGGAGAAGCCCTTCAGTGAGGTGGGGGTTTTGTTTTGTTATTTTGCCTTCTAAATGTTGGGGTTAGAGGCATGCCCTCAAGGTCATTTTGTTTTGAATTTCTCTTTTGAGATAAATATCTTTTGGGGAGATTGTTTTGGTTGTTCTACCTTTTCTTTTTGAGATAGGGTCTTACTGTGTGTTTTGGGTTAGCTTGGAACTACTGCTGTAGTCCAGGCTAGACTTGAACATGACATCTCCCTGCCTCTGCTTCCCAAGTGTTGGGATTGTGTAAGTTAGCTACCATGCTTGGCATTTTGTTTGTTGAGATAGAGTCTCCCCACAGTCTGGCTGCCTCTGCCTCATCAGCACTGGCATTACAGGCATGCCCAACCAGAACTGATGCAAGCCTTTTTTTTTTTTTTTTTTAAATTTCTTCTTTTTGCCTTTTGGCTTTTTGTGTACCCCCCCTTGTGTTTTTTGTTTGTTTGTTTGTTTTTGTTTTCTTTCTTCCTTCCTTTCTTTCTTTTTCTTTTTCTTTTTTTCTTCTTTCTTTCTTTTTTTTTTGGGTTTTTTTTTTTTTTTTGGTTTTTTTTGTTTTTTTTGTTTTTTTTGAGACAGGGTTTCTCTGTAGCTTTGGAGGCTGTCCTGGAACTCGCTCTTGTAGACCAGGCTGGTCTCGAACTCACAGAGATCTGCCTGCCTCTGCCTCCGGAGTGCTGGGGTTAAAGGCATGCGCCACCACTGTCCGGCTTGTTTTCTCCTTTTTTATTAATTTATTGTTTACATTCTAATCCCAGTTCCCCCTTCCTCCTTTCCTCCCAAAAACATATGGAAGGCTTCAGGAATTTGGGTGTCATCCTTGTGCAGGGGCCGAGCTAATCTTCTCTGTATCGTTCCAATTTTAGTATATGTGCTGACAAAGCGAGCCCCCCCCCCTGTTTTTAAAGATAGGGTCTCACTCTGTAGATCCAGCTGGCTTAAAATTCTCTATGTAGCCCAGGCTGGCCTGAAACTTGGAATCTACCCGCACCAGCCCTCTGGGTGTGAGGATTGTGGGTAGGTGTACACTGCCACATGCTTAGCTTTTTTATATCTTTTCATGGGAAATTGTTTTGAAATTGATTTGTGATTTCGAATGCTGAGGAACTTGACTCTGTCTGGGGTCTGTGTTAGAGGGTTTCAGTTTCAGATTTATGTCAACTGTTTTTACAGTGCTTTTGTCAGGCAGAGCTTCTTATTTGACATTACAAAATTTCTTTTGACATTTAAAAACTTTCAATATTAGAGAGAGAGAGAGAGAGAGAGAGAGAGAGAGAGTGTGTGTGTGTGTGTGTGTGTGTGTGTGTGTGTGAATGCACACACTACAGCACACTTAATAAAGGTCAGTGAGCAACTTTGTAGAGTCAGTTCTTTATTTGCACTTCCCGTGAGTTCCAGGGATTGAACTCAGGTGGTCAGGCTTGCCTGGCAAACACTTCACCTGCTGAGCCAGCCTGCCTGGCTCCTTTGCTGACAGTTCCTTTGTGATTTGAGTTTTGTTCCATAGACTTCAGTAACTCAAAGTTTATTTTGGTCAGTGGAGTCCAAAGATTCAACCTTGTTTGTTTATTTATTATTTTAGTTAACAAAGTGTAGTATCAATTATGGCCGAGGTAGAGAAACTTTTCTTGTAAAAGCCAGACTGTGTGTTGGCTTTTAGGGCCTGTATCCATGGCGGAGCTATGGGTGCCCCTCAGACAGTTAGAGACTGATGAGAGGGAAAGCGGTGTTTATGAACACTGGCATTGGGATTTTAAACGCTTTTCACCTGTCACAAAATGATCTTGCTTTCCTCACCTCTGTTTAAAAACTGTAAAAGCTGTTCTTAGCTGGAAGACCATCCCAAAATAGACAAACGACCGGGCATGGTAGTGCATGCCTTTAATCCCAGCAGAAGCAGGCAGCTCTGACGTGGTCTTCAAAGAGCTCCAGGTTAGACTCTGCCAAAAACAAAACAAAATCCAACAAATTAAAATGAACAACAGGCTTGCTTGGCTGCTGGGTGTTTTCCTTCACCGACTTGCCCTAAAACTTCATCATGTGCTAGCTGTCTGTGGTGTCCTGAACTACTCTGTCCCTCAGTGTGCCTGTTCAATGTCACATTCCCTTTCTTAGATGTGCATTGTGTTAGAATTAAGCCACCCTGTCATCTTTTCAGTTATGCACAATGCATTTAGTGCTTCATGTTTATTACTTTACATATAATTTATAAAATTAGCTTGCCCAGCTAAAAGGAAAATATGGAATGTTGATATTTCAAACACTGGAGTCCCATTAACCTTGCAATTAACTTAGGGCAGATGACATGTTTATAATACTAACACTTCTTCTAGGAGAAAAAGACAGTTATTTCCCCTTCACTTTTCCCTCTGTAGCTTTATGAACATCTGGAACATTTGTTTATCCCTTGTTTCTATAACTTTTGTGGGCTGAGCTTACGCCTCGCACTGCTGGCAGGTAGGCCGTGCCCATCCCTGCGTACTCTGGAGACAATACTTTGCCCTTTGCCTTGTTGTGTTGTCCTTCTCTGGTTGTATTAGCTCCCAAACCAGCTCCACTTGAGTAAGGCAGATGCGCCTGAGAACCCTTGTCCTGCTCCGTCTTAGTACTCGACTACATCTTTTCATAAGCCATCATGCCATCTGCTCACGCTCAGTCACATCAAGGAAGTATTCATGTTGTTCATTTTATTAAGAGTTTTCATTAAGAGTGGATATCGAATTATATCAAATGCCCTTCACTTTCGGAAATAATCATATCATTGTTGTCTTTTAATCTCTTAATATAATAAAATATTATAATAGGCAGTAGTGAATCATCATTGTATTATTAGCATGGATTCTAGTCAATCATGGTTTTTAATGTACTACATCTATGTGCTGTTGTTTTGTGCATTTAGCAGAACTATTTCTAAGTCTGGCTTTCTCTGGTGTTTGTGCTGTCAGCCATCATAGTTTTGAGACTGTTTGGAAACATTGGAGTAGGACATGGAGCTCTAGTTTATCAGAATGAGAGGCATTAAATACTGAACATTGCTAGTAGTGTGAATTCCAAATTCTAAGCATTAAAAAATAGGATGGTATTCCTAGTTTAGTAAGCTCATGAATACTACATATAATAAGCATTTCCCCATGAACCATGTAGTATATGAAAATTGTACTTTTCCTGGTTGTGTAGTGGGCTCTGATGGGGAGTTGGGGTTGCTTAGCTGTGTTCTTATCACTAATGGGTCCTCATGTTCTGTTCTGTAGTGTTCTCCTGGCACCATAAAGATGGCCAGGAGCCACTGGTTTCTTGATGCCAGTCTGGGAGCCCTGCACCCCTTGCAGTCTGTGGTGTCACTATGCTGCTGTCCTCTTCGTCTGCAGGTGCCCTTAGCTCCCCTGAACTCCATTTCCCGTTTCCTGGCTTCTGTGTGCTCCTCTTTGCTTCTCATCTGTAGGTTGGTGGAACGAACCCTTCAGTAGCTTCCTGAGAAGGTGCATGGGAGACAAACCTAGAAAATGAGTCTGCTTTCCTTTCCATCTTTGCTTGGCTGGGCTTTCAATTCTAGATTGGGAAACTTTTTTTTTTTTTAAGAAATTTGAAGGGACAAATCATTGTCTCAGCAGCGTTCTGCTGCTGTCTGCTGTTGGGATGTCCAAGGCCACTTTGACTCAGGTGCCTTCCTGTGTGAACTGTTTATTTCCCCAAACCCTTATTTCTTACCTCTAGCGGAGTCCTGTGATTTTATAATAATGTGCACCAGGGTTTTCGTTTGTCATTCTTTGTGTTTACAGTGCTGGGTCCCTGTAGGCCCTTCATTAAGTGAGTTACCACTCTGGTTTTGTGATATGGCCTTAAATGATTTCTTTGGTAATATTCTCTCCTTTATGTTCTGTGTTCTGTTTCCCTCTCTGAGATGGATGAGAGATATCTTGGGTTAATCCTTTCTTATTTCCCATCTTTTCAGTTCTACTTTATATATTTCCCCCAACAGTTTATCTTTTTTGTTTGTTTGTGATTTTTTTGTTTGTTTTGTTCTGTTGAGACAGGGTTTCTCTTTGTATGTAGTCTTGGTTATCCTGGAACTTGCTTAGTTCCAGACTGGCCTCAAACTCACAGAGATCCACCTGCCTCTGCCTCCCATCTGCTGGTATTAAAGGTGTGCACCACACCTGGCTTTCCTTTCTTTTATTCTCTGAGCATGTATCTTAGTCACTGTTTTATTGCTGTGAGGAGACACCATGACCATGGCAACTCTTAAAGGAAACCATTTAATTGGGGCTGGCTTACAGTTTCAGAGGCGTAGTCCATGGTCACCATGTTGGGAGCTTGGCAGCACACAGGCAGCTGCTTGGCAGTAGCTGAGAGCTACATCCTGATCCTTGGGTGAGGGAGGGGAGAGACTCTGGGCCTGGCATGGGCTTTTGAAATCTGGAACCCATCCCCAGTGACACACTTCCTCCAACAAGGCCACACCTCCTAATCCTTCTAATCCTTTCAAACAGTGCACTCCCTGGCCTCCAGACATGCAAATATATGAGCCTGGGGGGGTCATTCTTACTCAAACCACCTCAGCATGTTGATTTGAAATGCTCTATTTCTCTGATGCTCTTTGCTTCTTCGGGTTCTTTTTATTGTGTTTAGGGGATGGTGGTTGTTGTTTGAGGTGAAGTATTTTTGTTGTTTTGATTTTTTTGTTTTGTTTTTCATTTTTAAAGTTTCTGTCAAATGTCTGATCTTCTTTAGCAGTCTATTACTTAGGTTGGAAGCCTTGTTCCAAATGTGATGGCACATTCCTATAATCCCACCACTTGGGACACAGTGTCAGGATGATCAGGAGTTCCAGGTCATCCTTGACTAGTGATTTTGAGGCTATGTGAAACCTTGTCTCAATAAAGCAAGCAAGCAAGGAGAAGGACGACAGACTGAACTTGTTAAACTGCTCGCTAGAGTCCATGAGGGCAGTTTGGTTCACTGGTTTCCCTCCCACAGTGCTTGGTTTGGTAAGGTCTCAGTGACACAGGGATGGAGACTAAGTTAGCAGCACTTAGTGTTCTGGCATCTGACACAGTCCCTGAATAATACCTCCATGGAAATAATAAGCCTTGAGCCTTACCTTTGAGCATACTCCAAATGAGGAAAGTAAATTTGCAGAGCTTGTAGAGAAACACAGGGGACCATGCCTATGACATGGAGGTTTACAGAGACTTTTTCATCAGCTCAGTCAGTCCTCTGTCATAAAAGAAAAGGTGTCATCTCAGATACAAACACTTGTTCATGGAAAGGAAGCACTAAGAAAGCAAAGGGAGAATCCATATGCTGGACTAAGATGCTTATTCGACAGAGGGCTTGCTTCCGGAGTCATCGGAGAACCACCACAATTGGCAAAGTCCAGTAGCTCCATTTCAAATGTATGCAAAGACTTGCACAGGTACCATGTTAAAGGACATTTCCAAATGGTTGGTGAACATATAAGAAGATGCCCAACTTCCGTTTCCCATGGGGTGATATAATTACAACCCAGTAGCTTATCATTACACACTGCTCAGATGCCCTAAATGGAAAAGACTGAGGATAGTAAGTGTTGGCAAGAACATGGAGCAGCTGGAACCCTCATGTGTTGCTGAGAGTGAAAAAAACCGTTTGGAAACCTGGCACTTTCTGCCAGTTAAATGCTTGTTCTGTGACTTCGAAGTTCTTGTGGACAGAAACGAGTCCATGTGTGCATTGAAGAAGTGTACAGGGTCTGAACGTCTGATCCCAGAGGGAAATGTCCTCTGGCAGAGGAGTGTCTGCTTTACAGAGCAGACCCATCAAGGGAGTTAGAGAGCCAGGAAAGGGAATACATCACTGAGTGATGAAACTCCGCGCTTGAAGGTTGAAGAATCCCACCAAAAGGGCTATG